TAGAATTTGTAGATGGGAATGTGTATAGTAGCATGTACTATCCCCACACCTTTTGGAGAGCCCAAGGCTACGGCATGTATAATGCATGTGACCGTGCAGCGCCTTTTGGTTCAACGAGGAAAAGCGTGACCGCTTAGAGTTGTACCGTTTAACTAAATCACAGACCATTGCTTTTTGCATACAGAAAACTTTCAACATCGTCTTTGAACCCCTGAACCGCCCGACTACCAGCAAATGGCACGATTGCCACTGGAAGGAAGCTCCAAAAAACCGCCTCAAGCACACGAAGCAAAACGTCGTTCATTCATTCAACTGAGCAAGACGCACACACAACCCGGACACCGCCCCCTGCTCTGTCTTGCACACAGAAAAAAGTGCTTCGCACCCCTTCGCCCCGGCCAGGGGCGCCTTCAAGTGTTGATTGAGCGCATTGGACACATGAAAAGCGCATTGTCAACAAGCTTGGTACGGAGGCCATGATTGGCTCGAACAGAGGTTGCGCTTTCATTGCCAACATGTGCACATCCCATCGTCTTGATTCGGCCCTTGGCTTGATTGACGCGTGTCGGAATGAACATGCCGTTGCCGTTGCAGAGTGAACACAGAAAATTGGCAAGAGATTGCTGGTGACGTCATCATTGCCACATCTGTCCAGCTTCCGGCTCTTCTCAAATGTGCCAGTGATTGCGTTGGAGACGGATTGATCGTTTGCGTTCGCCGCTGGCGCGACGCTGATCCATTGTTTCATATCCACAACTGCAGTGAAGGGCGTTGCAGCTTCCCTTCTTGGCGATTGAGCTGCATGCTGAGGGACATGGCTCTGGATTGTTCTCCCCCCGTAGAGCTTCAAGCGTCCCGTTCAAGCCCCTTCAAGTCTTCGACCCGTCGTCACCCCCCACACCCGTGTGAAATCAGAGGTGGTAGCTGGTGCAGCCTTTTTTCAAAATGCGAGCGATTGTTGAGAAGTGATCGCTTGAGTGTAGGGTTGATGCTAGCAAGCATTGTTGTGGAGAATTTCCTCAAATATTGTGACCGCGATTGAAACGTTGTACGTTGTACAGGTATAATCCAAGTCGGTCAGCCAGCTTGTGCAACCATTGCTTGCCGGCTTCGACTTGTATCGTCCAAAGGTTTGCCATCTTGGGTCAGCCAGGTGACAGTCAATTGTGTTCAGGGTTTTTGCATCATATCACAACTGCTTTCAGAATGTTGAGAACGAAGAAAGGTTGCATGGCAGGAAAAGGTCGAAATTCATATTAGCTCAGTTGTTGATTGAGTTTACAGCAAGCTGCAACAAGCTACACATTACCTCAGAACATTTACACAAGATCCCCATGGCCAGCGATTTGATCGACTGGATAAGCCGCTTGGATGCTGCGTTGTGGTTTGCAATGCTGTAGGCTACATGGCGTAGCAGTGAGTTTGTGTGAGTTGTCGAATCCTTCTTGTGTTCAGTACGTGACGTTGCTGAGGTCGACAAGCTCAAATCGGTGGCGATGCTCGACAGGGCTTGGTCCGAGCAGCTCGAAGGAGTCCAGCACATGCTCAAACACTGTTTTTTCTGCTGAAACTACCGCCAAATTTACAACTATACAGCATCTTCCGCGACTTCAAGCTCAGGTCTTCAGGTTTACCAGGCTTGATAACTGATCAGACTTCTTGCAAACTGACTTCCATTTGACAGCTGCTTGGGAGACTTAGCACGCGCTGAGACAACGACTACGCTCTCGTAACCCTTACCATTGTTTCGGACAGAGCCTTCTGGGCCGTTCGGCAGAGGTTCTGTTGAAGAGACAGGGATTGCACCCGTTCGTCAGATTGAACAGGCTTGGCAGAAACCAGAAGCTGCAACCTATAAGTATTTGTGTTTCACTACACTGATGGAGACACCAGCCAAAACTTCCTCACACAGTTTGCCCGTCAGAATTCGGAGGAACCGATGGGAAATGCAAATGTTTGCTGCCTGTGGCTGAGATTCCGGAATGCTCGGTATTATCTGTCAGCTTCGTGTTTAATTGCACCGTTTGAGCTGATGTGAGCTTGGTGGATCGTAAGTCATAGTCAGGGAAACATGCCTGAATCACGTCTGGCTCGAGGCAGCCTTGTACTCATTTATTGATGCGCATGTTGATGGAGTCTGACAAACCCGCCTCTGGCATGGGACAGCTGTCGAAGTCTTCCGAGGGCACGCCATCAGAAAGTCAAGGCTACAGCTTCCACTCTGACTCGTCAAGCGTTGACACTCTTGTGCAAAGGCACGAGAATCGACAGTTTCTGCTGCAAAGACTGTCTGTATTGCGGCAGCAGGTTCGGAACCTTGAACAAGAAGTTTCTGACATTGAAAGTGTGGTGCATGGGCTCCCCTATGTGCCGGCCCAATCGGCTGACACATACCGCCGAGACGCAGCTTTGCCGCATTTCCATGTGGCAGCCACAGCAGGCGCGAGAATGCCCCGGGTTTCTGAAGTCGTTCAGCGCAGGAGTCTGTTTGCTTAAGATAGGTTCTGGACTTCTCGGACTGATTGGGTTCCGAAACCCTACATGGGTTCTTTGTGTCTCCGGTTTCAGAAAGATGCAGTGTTGAAGGTGCAGGAGGCATTGCTTTGCCCTTGGCCGTTGGCATCGTGCACCCACTGGACACGGTTCGGACCACCATGCAAGCTGCTGTTGCTTGTCAGAAAGTCGGTCTTGTGTCGAATGTTATTGAGCCCCCTGTGTCGTATCGTGAGAAAAGACCCTCCAGGGAAGTTCTGCGTGGTATATTGTTGACTGGTTCCGATCTCCTGAGGCCTCTAGCGGAGGTTTCTCTCACTCGCTGCAGAGTCTCGGGTGGCGTGGCCTAAGTCGCGGTTTCCTCCTCAGCCTTGCCTGGGCATGTCCGCAAGGCGCCATACGCATGGCCAGCTACGAAGCCTGCAAGGAGACACTGTTGGACAAATTTTATTTCAGACCGTTTGGGATAGCGGTCTCTGCTGTAGCGGCCGACTTTGCGAGCAGTGTGGTCAAAGTGCCTCGGGAACTGATAACGCAACGAATGCAAACAGGTCAGTACAAGTCCAGCTGGAAAGCAGTGCACAGCATCTTCCGAGAGGATGGCCTCACAGGATTTTTTCGGGGGTATGCTTCTACTGCCTCTCGTGACACTCCTTTTATGCTGCTTCTCTTCCTTTCCTACGAGCAGTTCAAGTCCTGGAAGATTCGCTTGACCTTCTCGCAGCAGGGCCCAGCTGAGATTTTCGCTCCATGGTCAGATGCAGAGACCGTGACTTGTTGAAAAATCAGGTGGGTCTTTTGGTTCATTCTTTTGAGTCAGGTGGCCCAGCAGCTTTAGCAAACATTTTGATGGGGGCCCCTTGACCGAGGTGCTTTGGGGGGGCGTCTCTGGTACTTTGGCAGCTTGGTTGACGACTCCCTTCGACGTCATCAAAACACGGATCATGACTTCTAAGACTTCCCTCTCCTTCCAGGAGGCCGTGAAAGGGACAAACGGGCTCGCTGGGCTCTTTCGGGGAGCCGCTCCTCGGAGTGCTTGGTGGTTCTGTGTCAGCTCCGTGTTCTTTGCAAGCTACGAGCGGCTTCGGGCTGTTCTCCAGCAGCACGTGGACAGTACCCTCGACACAGGCGGTCTGAAAAGGAAACGACTGCATTGAATGTTGCATGAAGCGCACCCACTCTCGTGCATGATTAAGGAGATCATTTGTGGTGAGCCACAGCTGAATGCAGACATGATCGAGAACTGCAGCCCCAACGAGGTCCCAGCAATGTGTGCAGCAAGGGACAATCTTTGACCATGTACGGCATGCGAGTGCAGTACCATGGCCCAAGATCCTGTCGGACTTGTGGTCGTGACACTTTGAGAGTATTGTCGTCGTCGTGGCAGATAGCAGTGCTGAGCCGCGCCTGGCGTCTCGACTTCGGGGTACCATCGCCACGACGACTGGCGCAAAGGACCGCCGGGAGAGGAGAAGACATGTCGGATGCCTTTCCGTGTCCAACTGGCAGGTCGGAGAATCGAGAGCACCTACAGGACCTAATCTACTCGTGCATCTGCTGTGGTCTGCGCCGCGGCCCGGCAGGAGAGACAGCACTACGTTGGTGGCCGTGAACACATGTACATGTCTGCCTCTCGGAGCTTCGGGGAGAATCGCAACGATTGTGACACACCCCCGCCTAGGTTAGACGGCTACGTTGCGGCTGTAGACGAGGAGTTTGAGGCGTGTGCGAGTCTGGCCAAGGAGTCGGAACAATGTAAGAGCTTGGAATTCTCGACAGAATCGCCGACACAACGTAACACCGCCCTATGGACAACGACCTGCACCGCGAGAAGTCCGGACCCTTGTAACGATCTGTGAACTGCTGCCATGGCTTTGAAATGCAGAAGTCGCATCAATGTCTGCACAAGCTTATTGGTGTGTCCTGTGCAGCTTGAGAGTCTCATGTTCATATTCGCACTTGTTGCATACTGCTTGCACACATCAAAGATAAGAAGAGCTGAAGATTGCCACAGTTCATCGTTCTTTGTCGTCAGGAGCCTGATTTAAAGTCATGGACAAGCACCCCCCCTTCATTTCGCTTAGCTGACGCCATTGGCAGCGCGGCCTTGGATGGATCCGCCTGAGTTGCGCCAAAGACTGCATCATGCCGGGAGTGGGCGCCGCCATGAAAACGGCTGGGCACTCAGGATGCAGCCTACAGGCCTTAAGGCTGCCGGGTTGTTTCGGCAGTGTTTGGATCAGGCCGCGTCCTGGTCAAGCGGCTGGAAACTTGGTCTCAGATCGCCGCCATGGCTGTTGGCCCGGAAGTAGTGCATCGAGCCTTTTGTGTTGGACTTCTCAGCCAGGAAAAGTCCAGATCAGCTGCGGGACGTTGTGAAACCGGAAGGTTTGGAATCTGGTTTCGATCTGAAGGACACGGCGGCATGGAAAGAGAGTTAGAAAGAGTCAACCGACACATCTTCAGGACGTGGCCAGATCAGCGATGGGAGGGCTCGGCCTGAACAAGCACAAGCCAGATGAGGGCTTCATGCGTGCTGCGATGGCTGCAAGTGATGCTTGCCTCGAGAGCCTAGAGAAAGGATTTGGTGCTTGTGTGCTGACGGCCGATGTTAGTGCAGCCGCCTGAAGCTACAAGGAGTACCCGAAGTATTTTCAGCACACCAACGGCCACAGAATCGGCGGTACACACCGCCGCGGGTCACCTGGCAACACGTTGTCGCTGCGCGACTGGTGCGTTTCGTCGCAGTTGTGCCTCTGAGAGTACTCTGTCCAAGGCGCTTGCCAATGACGGAAGCGCAGACAATTGCTTTTTCCAGGTGGCATCTTGTGAATAAGCCTGTGCCAGCACCCGTTTGCCTGAGATCGTGGTTGGAATGATCATGAGCATCAGTTCAAAAATTCACAGCCTGTCAGGAGCGACAGGGTGCCTCGCCTGATTTGAGAAGATGCGCCCGTTTTCCAATGTGTGCGGAACCTGGGTTCGAGTTAGTGACCCCTCACGGAGCAAGCGGTGTGAGCTGCTTTGCTTCGCTTCAAACCCAGCGTCCTTGCATAACTTGATGCTGCAACAGTTGAGACCCAGCGCCAACGTTCAATGTTCGGCTGCTTCTGCAGGTGCCATGTGTTCCGCAGTTCTTGGAAGAGAGATACGCTACGCCCCTGTTCTGCAAATCGGAGTGTTGAAGCGAGTCTTGCCAGGCAAAGAAGCATTCTACGCAATTTTTCGATCCATTTGTGACACGACGGTGCAGCAGCAGTGAAACACGCCGCGAGGTCAGGTCACACCGAGCAAAGAGATCATGTATCATGTTTCTTGAAAACACAGCTTCATTGCGAGCGAAACACGATGTAGCCAAGACCCGGGCTGGTCTCACAGACACGGCAGACTTGTGTTCCACTCACCCATTGATGTCTGGGACGGACTCACTGCAAGGAAGAATGGTAGAGCCAAGTAGCACCGCTCGGGCTGTGAATGCCCCGTCAATGCCAGTGAATGCTGGCAGGCTGAAGCAGCTGCTCGCGCAGACGCAGCTGGTAGCCTCGGTTCAAGATCCGTACAGGTCGGTGGACTCGGCTCAGTGGCACGGTCAGACATGTGTAAATAGCCTTCCATCACACCTGGCTGAAGTTGTTGGCAGTCGGCACGCATGCGGTCTCGCTCTTGCAAGCGAGTGCTTCAGCAGATCCGTCAGGTTCGGAGAGCTGGTTCGCGCCGAGGAGCTTTCAAGCTTCCTTAATCGTGCCGACAATTCCGTCATATCGAATGAGGAGGTCTCAAAGACGCTTGGCTGGAAGGTCTAGAAAAAATTCCTTCTGGGAAGGAGCTCTCTTCTGCAGCCATTAGCCGATCATTTCAACGTGCTTATCCAGGCTGGGAGAGGCTCTGGCAGCAACGCTCAATGCAGGCGCTTCAATCACATGACATGACGCCTTTCGTGTATCAGTCGAGCGCTGGTTGGCAATAGCTGATGCGGATTCCAGCAGTGGCATGATCTGCGATGCAGCGTGTTGCAGTGCCAACAATGTTCATGCTCTGCATCAGCCAAGTTGAGACAGGGTTCAGCCGTGACCCCAAAAGGACGAGGAGCCCGTACTGACTACACCGCGCCGCTGAAGCACTCGGAGGAGAAGGCTCGTGTTGCGGAATGGCCGACTGTCTCGGTTTGTTAACCTGGCCAGTTTCCCAGCACTCGGCAGTGAATTCGAGTGGCATACGTTTCTGGGCCGGCCCTTCCGGCTGCCGGCGTCGTCAGCGACCTTGCAGATCGGTCAGCTCTTGCTGTGGCCCTTTGAAGATCCCTGCCTTGAGCGACAGCAGCCGTGCTCGTTGCCCCACATCTCCCATTAGCCCAGTTGCCCCTGCAGGTAGGCGTTCTTCTCCTCTGACTTGTTTTGCTCTGTGATCGTCTCCTTCCATGTCAAAGCACAAGCCCATCTGTATCGTTTCGTAGAAGCGCTTGTCCGCCCGAAGGTGTCGTTTGCGCTCTCGGATGGCATCGGAATGACTCAGCAGGATCGAGACCCTTTCTGCGCACACACACACATTTTCGCATGTCCGTGTTTCCTTTGCAGTTCCATGCGCAGGCCATGAACGATGTGGCAGATGCTTGGACGTATTCGAAGCGTTCGGCTATGTTGCAGTCCTCTTATTGAGTACGAGCGACTTGCAGATCGGCTTTGCTGTTGGTGCTGAGGCATACGCGTTTCGCTGTCGTGCCACAACGTTCCTTATGCTCTGAGAGCTGCAGAACTTGTTAATGCTCTGTGCGTCAGACTCCCAGCATTTGCAAGCTTCATGACAGCTTATGAGGACGCTGGTGGCTATTTTATCAACCATTCCACTGCAAGGAGAGTGACTTGCCTACACGGGGGGCACACTTGATAATGACAGCTCCATGAAGTGCCGCTTTTGGAAGCTTCTCGTTCGTCAGCTCGCTGCGTCATCAAGCTTTCCAAAAGTGCGTTTGCATGTCTGCGAAGCTCGTCCTACGAACATGCTTGCAAACGAGCGCAGAAGCAAGTTTCTTCTTGAAGGCGTGGCCGGACGACCACCGCTATCATCGGCAAGAGCAGAGGCACCCTGCAGTTCTTCTTTTTGTGCATTGGTGGGCATTTCTGCCGGCAGGCCGGTGGTGGTTCGAAGCGACTGGAGTGAGAAGGCTTTGGATAGTTCGGGTTTTGCGCAAAACTTTCAACTCTCGTTCTGATTCGTCAGTTCCAGTCTGGGGGAGTGGCGAAGTTCTTTCCACTATGCCTAGGCTGCAAACAGCCCCTATGGTCGACAAGGACACGGTGGTGGCGAGGCAGGGGCCGTGTGTTTGCTTCTTGCTGTGCTTGCTCGACCACCATCGCCGAGGTCCCTCGATCTGCCGAAAAAGCCGTGCCGGACGAAGGAGCTCGTCAGAATGCTGATGTCTCGACACCTACTGCAGGAAACTCGTAAGCCTTATGGCGGTGCTATTTCAAGGCTAAGATGAACTTCCCGGCACTACGTGATTATGACTACGAGCTTTCAGGAGCTGTGCCAGAGACTTCACCTGGCGCCAGCCCGCAGCAGGTGCACTTGAGCAGAGAGAGATTTGTGGAATTCGGAGTAGACAAGGGGTCTGGCCCTGTCCGTTGCCAGATATGGCCAGAACCTTTGGCACCGGGTCCAAGCTCCTGCTTGTTGTGCACGCCTGCAGGAACAACAGCCGCGAAAGGACAGTGGCAGGGCTGCAACCGTGAGTGCGACACTGTGGTCGTTCCAGAGGAGCTGCGGTTCAAGACGGCCAAGCAAGACGAGATCATCACTAGTCCCATTGATTTCTGGGCTCGTGTCTCAGACCGCTGGACTTCCTGAGCGGTAACTTCACCGACGATGCATGCATCCGGAAGTTCCGAAGCATGCTCTTCCCGATATTGAGAGCAACAGCTTTGTACATCTCCGTGTGACAGGTAGTCCTCAACCAAGTTTTCGCTTCTCTGTTGGCATGTCGTACACACTGTAATCTGGAACCTCCTTAAAGGAGCCTAGAGTGCCCAGAGCGGATGTGATGCAGCATGGGCAGCAAGTGTATCAACATGTGCCAAAGGATGGTCCTTAGTTATCAGGTGGCAAGGATAACGAGTGCGAGGCTAGACAAGATGCCATGTTGTTGGGTGTGCATATTGGGAGTTGACAGGATGAGCGGGCGTAGGACTGACTGTAAGCGATGTCCAGAAGACAAGTTAGACTCGACAAACAGTGCAGACCTGTATCCGGTATGGAGGCGTAGCAAGAGATGTGGAGATCGCGCTAGCACCGTTAGAGAGACGCAGGGATACTTGGTGCGTCCAACGGCAGGAATGGTTCACCGGTTTGGCATGGCCCTGTGCATGAGACCTGGGCTCAGGAGGCCTCCTCTGCCAGCGCTATTTCGGTGGCTTTGGATGGGTCTGCTGTTTTCGTGGTGGATAGCGGCCGCGCCCTTGTCTTGAGTATCATCCCTTTGCACAGGAGTGAGTATGAGATGGCTGAAGCACTCGAGCTGGAGCGGCAGGAGTAATTTTGGAACCATTCTTTGGGCTCAAAGGAAGCTTAGAGCTTCGACAAGGGGCGCTAGCTTGCTGCCGCGCAGAGTTGGGGCTCGTTGCCCACAGGAGTTTTCTTCCAAGGATTCCTTGGTTTCCTAGCATGTCGGCGTCCTCCCAGACACGACTATCTAATTTTCCTCGTTTTCCAATTCTCGAGCACAGCACAGTCCAAGGTCGAGATGACCTTGGCTGTGCTTTGTGTCACTGACGAACTTTGTTTCAGAGCAGTTGAGGTGGCCTCAGACGCTTCGACCTGCCAGACCTGCAACCTGGCTGAAGTCATCCTGTCTTGAACCGTATGCTGGGGTGCACTTCGTGGGTGTCACGAGAAGAGCCATGAGAGTGAACCATGTTTCAAGGTATCACACGCCTGCTTGAACGACTCAGTTGTAGGCGTCCGATTCAAGAGTCCTAGCCATTCCCGCTGCTTCTACCATCGTCAGCTGAGCGGGTGCTCACCATTTAAACTTTAACGGTCTCGGTTTGCACATCACCATGGTGACTCTCTGACATAACCACAGTGTTTGCTCGGCAAGTAACCTGATTTACCGCATAAAACGGCTGGTTGCCTCAGAGCCCCAAACAAGTGCGAACCACAATGACACCAACTCTTGCCCACAGCAGCACATTGGATATCGACTTGATAGGCTTTGGCTAGGGGCCACACATAAGTCACGCACATCGGTATGTTCGACCGGATCTGTGCATGGATGCGACAACGGGTTCTGGGGACGGCAGGTGGAAACAAGGATGGACGGGTGTGATCACTTGTGCTCATGTACCTATGCATTTGTCTACATGTCGGTTTGTCAAGTGTCTCGGTGTGTCTACATGCCGTTCCGCGTATGTCTTCATGTACTTACATGCACAGGTTTGTAAGTAAGGAGGAGCGCTGGTACCATGTCTGCATAACTTGACTGCATCCAGACATGATGCCTTCCAGTATAAGTGTGTGTGTGTGTGCGTGTGCCTTGTGTGCGGATGCATGTGGATGCACAGATGAGTTGAGGGATGACCGAGGAGTGGTATGTCTTGGCAAGATATGGCAAGCAGTTTAAGCATGAATGAAGCGGTACCAAGACATGGAGCTTCCATGGGCGTGACCACGAGCTGCAACGGATCCATCTAGGTAGTTTAGTTCATGCATCTCGAATAAGCATGTGTTCATACACATGAACATCATCATGGCTCCATCGCGGTTTCCAGTTCCAGCGGAACACGTCCATGAGATTTGCTCTTGTTGTCGATGGCTTCGAGGCGGCTCACAGCCTCTGCGGCCTACACAGGCTGAGCGGCTCAGCGATGAGCAATGGGGAGTTCGTTTGACATGTTAGCCGGCCTGTGACTTGCAGGCTTTCGCATCATTTGGTGAGTCCTGAGCTGACATGGTGCACGTGCTGATTGCCAAGAGGCGATGCAGCAGGTTACGCCGATGTTGCGGCAGGTTCAGCTCAGTCCATCTCTGCAATCTGTGCTGCATTGCTTCTCCAGGCATGGGCTTCGTTGTGTGTGCTGACGTGGAAGGGAACCTCTTTCGACATGACGCAGTAACGTGCCTGGGACATTGAAGATCGAAAGGAAGCCTCAAAGAAGAGACACGCTCAAATCGGCAAGCAGGTGAAATCTGGAGTTGTTGCATGGCCGACGCATGCAGAAGCATCCCAGGTGTGTGCTACAGCTGCAGCGCACTTATCAGCCGTCCGTCGTTGAGCACTCGAAGGCACGGTGCTTGACCAAGACTAGGAACTGGGGTGTGCTTAGATGAAATCAATGAATTCCGGTGAAACCATCCGAAGGTCACACTCAGATGCAGGAATGAGTAATTACACAAAAAGGCTCGGATTGCTATCAGTGCCTGCTTCTGCTGCAGCGCCTGGTGGCATCTCACCTGGATCGTCTCAGCAACGCTGTGACCGGCCTCGAGGGAGGGTGCGGCTGGCAAGATTCTGGGATGTGCGTTCTCGGATTTAGGAGAGCAGATCTGCATTTTCGTTCAAGCCCGCGATGGCGTGCTGTTGCTGCATCGGGGTCTACATGGTGTGAGCCTTTGTAGAAATAGTTTGCGGTTGTGCTGATTCTATGACAGGTTCGGTGGAGCTTCCCGGCTGGCCATTGGCGCAGATGCTGTGTATTTAGGAGGCGACGATCCGAACCTTTCTTGAGTACATATACCTTAGTTAACATGGCATTGGCGTTCCACGAGAGTGTTCCGGATGAAGGTATCTTGCATGGTTATGCATCGTTTGGAGTCGTGGACGACAAGTCATATATCTGTTAGACATCATGAGTATAATTCTTGTTCCGGGACACCTACAACAGCTGTCAGCAAGAATACGTGCCCCGCCCCAAAGTTCTTGCCAAGGACCGAGACATGGCACCCAATCGCGAAAAAATGCCCACTCCTATCGACCAACACAGAGAACCCGGTCTCGTAGACTCCAAAATCCTGGCCATGCCAATGCGACGTCTGTTTGGCCAAAGAGTCTCTTTTCGTCCAAAGAAGTACGTATTGTCCCCAAACCGCATGCAAATTTCCTTGGAGCGATTTTGGTGCAGGATTCTTCGGCGTCGGCAGACGCCAAGAAGGGATCTCACGAGTGTCCCATGCTGCGAATTGTCGCCATGATTTCTATAAGCATCCAGCCATCACCTTAACAAGAAAGCTGCTCGTTTCTTCTCAAATAGTTCTGGCGATCCTGCAGCACGGCTCAGCGCCACAAATGTTTTTCACAGGCGAACCTCCCTAAACTTGACAAACTCCGCTACAAGGTCCTCTGGCACATTTTTGTTGTCAAAGGCTTGTCTTGCCACAAAGAACTCGAACCTTCTGACGCGAATTGCTCCAATGACTATCTTTCACAATTGGTATATGAGCATGCCTCAAACAAGATAGACCAAGTTAGATCCTTCTGCTTTATCTTGTCCCATATCTCGAACATAGGCCACCGCCTGCTCACGCCCGGCCACCCTCCGATACTTTGGGCCGCAGTGGCGATGACACAAGCCTATCAACGACAGCACATCCTTGGCACAGATGCCCCTATACCCACGGCCCACCAAATACACCATGATATCTACCATCCCACCGAAACCAAGGTGGTTGAAGCACGCTCCAACTATCTGGCTCTTCAGAGTCCTACTTAAGCTTCCTACACCCCCTCTAGCCGCGCCGCGCCGCCAGCTGCTAGCTCGGGATAGGAAAGCTTGGGCCCGCTCTCAGAGGTTTTGCGACCAGCTGAAAGGGCTGCCCTGACGAGTAGTCTTACCTGTGGACATGCTTTGCACACGACGGCGCGAGAGAGAGACACATAGAGCCAAGGCTTGCTTTCGGATTCAGTAAAGGGGGGATATGTGGCAGTCAAGAACCGTGCCCTCATCGTGTCCTTTTCAAAAGCAGACCTGGGCTTACCAGTGCGCATGCGTGCTCGAGGGGCACGGGTGTCCGTGCTCTTTTGGCTGTGTTGAACAGAGAGAGAGAGAGAGAGAGAGAGACCCCACAGCCCTGGCGAAAGAAAGAGAGAAGGATCAGGAAGGTGCCGAACCTCAAGTAGTCTCACACCGACTAACGACACAGGACGGAGGCGTAGCGCGAGAGCGCAGGGGAAGGGGGGCCTCCCCCGACCCCAAACGCCCGGCAAGCAAGCAAGAGCGAGACAGAGAGAGACACTTCACGCTGTCTCCCTCAAACACCTCAAGCATCCCCGAGCCGAAACCGGGGGGGACCTACACCACAGTGAAGTAGAGCTGGCTCGGACCTCGGAGTGGACTGCAGCTGTAGCCAGTGTGTAGTAGCGTTTGCGTGTTGCTTCGGGGGAACTTTGGTGCGAGTCACGCCTGCTTTGAGGGCCTGATATAGTCTGCGAGGTGGTGAGAACACGAGTTTGAAAACCTTAGTGTGCATGTTTGCTGTTGTTGTCACTCGCCACCTTGCAGCGCTGGAGGGGATATCGTTCTGAACAGCCGAGCCTCCCGGGGAAAATTCCCGGGGGGATGAGTTAGACACCCACGGACAACGGGTGCGCGCGTGCGCGCGGGAGGCTAGGTCTGGACGCACCTCGTCTCTCCAGCCTGGTAGAGAGAGAGAGAGAGAGAGACGTCAGTTTCTCTTGAGGACATGTTTTCTTAGCAGCTGGGGGAGCACTGCCAGTTTTCGGAGACAAGACGGCACAGGGGGACAACAACGACCTTGTAGTGACTGTACCTGTGTGTCCTGCTTGTTGGTGCAAGATACCAGTCCCGTAACAAGTTATCAGCTCGTGACAAGCAACGAGTTTGGACGACAGTGCCGGCTTTCGCCTTAGTTGGACGAGGCCAGTGGGGGTGGTTTGCATCAGTGTTACTTCAGGGGGTTTCAACAGTTTGAGACACGACTGGCCTCATCTGCCAAAGCTGTCACACAGAGACTTCGTGTACCAGGGCGCGCTCGCGCGTGAGGGAGGGGCTTTCAGCTTTCTTTTTGACTGTGTGGCAGAAGACAGAGAGAAAGAGAGCGCTCGAACCTCGTGCCGGTATGTGAAAGTTAGACCCTCCCCTCCCCGTATCACACCCTCAAACTGTGAGACCCGGGCGCGTGCGTGCACAGAGGGGTATATAGGACGCTGCCCCTTTTGGCTGTGTGGAAGAGTTTGAGCAAGGTTGGTTTTGATGCGTGCATCCTGTGTGGAGTCCTAGAGGCCGAGATGGTGTGGTGACGGCCTATGTGCCAGGCGCATCGGTTGATTGTGTCCTAAGCTGTGTTGGGTGGGATGGGCACATGGCATCATTGTCCTTGCCTGGAAACGACTTGGAGCACAGTTTGAGTATCATGCTCCTTGTGCCCAACAGCATCATCCTTGCTGGTTTGATCGGCTCTGAGATGCGAAGGCTCGCTCACACTCCGAGCCCGCTGTCGGCTTCTGGAGCCGATGGTTCTGCCAGTCACACGCTCGGGCAATTCTGCACACCTCCGATTTGCGGCGTGAGGAGGGGCCCAGCTGTGCCATCATTGGAGTTCGTGCCTTGCAGCTACCTCGGCCTGGTATGCAAACGTGCAGAAGCGTGTGGACAAACACCTGAGAATCTGCATGTCGCAACCGTGCTTTGTCCAGGTGCCTTTCGCCTTACAAGCGACTCTACTGTGCTGTCCAATCCTCCGTGCATGTACTAACGACTCCGGGCATGAGCCAGGCCACCAGTGAGTTGCGGTTTGTTGTGTGTGGTGCGCAGTGGCTGCCGAAGGATCTCGCCTGATTTTGACGAATCTGCACAGGTAGCTCTCCTTCGGGGTGGCCCTCGGGTTCCTGTGTTCGGAAGCGTAAGCAGGCTCCTCAGAAGCTGAGAGCAGAAAGTGGCTCCCGAGCCTTATCCCTGCGCCAAGTAGTGCGAAGTTCGATTTGTGGTGCCTTCATCTCGAGGTGCAGTCGCCGAGAGCCGCTCAGGGTCCGAAGACTCAGCTGCAGTGCCTTCATCAGCTGTTTTGAGTGGACTCTTTGCTGCTGTAGGGATTACGTCTTTGTGGCCGATGTGGGTGGGCCGTTCGGAGCCCCAGCTGGTAAAAAGAGAACGCTTTTTTATACTGGCAGACTAGCGGCTTGGCAGCAGACTTCTCGAGGTCTATCCACGTGTGGGGTACCCGCTCCTTCCGATGGATAGCCCGTGTGGAGCTGCAGCCAGGTTGGTCTTTGACAGTGCTCGTGGTTTTCGGTTGTAAGACTGGAGCAGCTATTCACTTCCGAACGGTACACCGAGCCCTGCGTCGAAACCGGTAAGAGAATGCCAGATGCACGGCTGAAATGATGCGATGCTGTCGTTGGACGCTTCCTTTGCCCCAATCTTGCTCAAGCCGTCTCAGCGGGTGGCAGACATTGGTTAGTTTGCTGATCCCAAAAGGAGCTGAGACTGTTGGGAGCTCGGATACGTGGCAGCCGGTCTTGCATTTTGCCTGGTGGCACCCTGTCCATGTTGAATGGCTGAGGTGAAGTTCTTGTTTGCGCTTGATGCCCGGTGGCCACAAAATGCCGATCGAGCCATTGGTCATACAGCTACGAAAGTTTAGCTAGTTCGGTTTGTGGGAGCATAGCGCCCAACAACGTTGTGTCGTGTTGTGAGAACTGAGAACAAGCAGAGCATGGTAGGGTTTGTAGCGAAGTCGTCCCAGGCTGTAATTATTTTTATCATTCCTTTTTGGGCCATCGGGCACAAACTTCGACATCATCAACGATGAAGTTTGCAAAGACGCCGGGAGCTGGGTGCTTTTGCTTCGTTGTCCTGCCGCTGGTGGGCAGAAAGACTGCAAGTGTGCATGCTGCGACGGATAGGGACGTGCACGTGCTTCATTCTAAACTGTAGAGGGATCCGCCATCACTGATATTCACTGATGCTCAGGCTACAGGAGGAATTGCGTGAGGAGTGGCAGCAGTCCATGTGGCACGTTTCCCTCAGCAGATCATCATCTGCTGGAAGCTGCGTAACAGTCGCAGGACATGCAAGCGAACAGTGGAAATGATCCTAGATGCCAGGCAGTATGTGGACTACAAAATGTTAAAGAAGGCAGGGCTGCAAACACTATGGCAGGTTTGCACATGTCTGCACGGCGTGCGAAACCTGCTTGAGAAGAGAGGTGCTGAAGCTTGAGCAGGACACGGCCACGAGCTCATGCTCTGGTCATGGCCAATGCTCGGACAGTCGGTAGTTGTCAGCCTCGAGGCAGTGCGTGCCTTTTGCGACCTCCTGGAGTCGGAACTGACAAAGGCCAATTCACATTTGCACTTGGCAAGCTGCTTTTGCGCTGTTGGCGATTGGGAGTAACGAAAAGCTTAAGAGTCGACTTCCTGTCTTGTTTGGCCTCGGCCGTTTGCTTCAACGAGACTGGAGGTTCACGCCTTCGTGCAGAGGCAGCAGGATGACATTTGGAAGGCTGTGCGACGTCTGTCACCTGCTGTTGATTCCAAGCCATGCTAGCTTGAACCAGCCAGGTGGTTTGTGACGGTGTTGACATTTTACCGACCAATGCTCGGCAGCCCATGACTCAGACGCTGAGATGATTGGATTCTCATCCAGGCCATACGTTTGGTCAGGTTGGTGCAGATGTCGCCTCTTCATCCCGGCATGCACACTGGATTTGTGAGCTCATTCGTGCTTGACCGCCCAGGAATGCGCTTGTCAGTGTGAACACGGCTGAGACCATGGTGGCTTCTATCCAGAACTTCAAGAGCTATGTTGTCGGCACCTCAGTCATTGAACACTGTGTCCTGTGCAATTAACATCATCAGTATTTCGAGAGAAGTCTTCCATCCAAACCTTAAGCTGGCCAATTCCATGATGGCTTGGCGCACCGCATCTGACAGTTACTGTGAAAGTTGACATGTGAAGCAGCCGTTGTAACATGTTCCCGTCGCCTGAAGGATGGCTCACAGTAGTGCGTGCGAAGAGAAAAGCCCGTCGTGGCTGCAGTGGAATTTTTTACCGTTAGGGTTTTCTAGTGGTAGCGGAGCTCCGATAACGGGGCTCCTTAGTGGGTGGTTGTGTTGGGTTTGGAGCGGGGTTCCGAGTGTTGCTGAGGACTAGCGCCGTTGGCTTGTTTGGTTTCTTAAGTAGTGGCCGGGACAACCTTGAGCCTTGAGCCATGAGTTCGTTCGTGTGCGACGCTGTGGGCCGCGAGTGGGAACGGGTGGAGGACGAAGAGGACAGATCCTCAACTACGACGGTGCTTCCTTCGGCGATGCAGCCGCCGGGTGCTGGCGTGGTGAGGTCAGAGCACTGGTCTCCTTCAGTGAATGGGTCATTGGAAGGCCAAGAGCTCTGGAAGGGAACGCCGACCAGACGCCCGTCTTCGTGGAACGGGGAAGTGGCTTCGGCTCCAGAGGGCCTGAAGCACGAAGCGCAATCTCATGGGTCTTGGGAATGGCAAGAGCAAGAATGGTCCCACTACTCGTGGGAGAGTGACCCATGGGCCAGCCACCTGGATTCTGCTCCCCCCGGCTGGAGGCGCCCCTACAGTAATTGGGAGTCCCAGTCGTATGACGAGGAGAAAGCACAGACACCGTCGGATGAACATGTGCCTTTTCCCCGTCTCCTGTCTAGACGGGAGAACAGCCCGGCTGAGGAGGACAAGCAGGTAGTGACGCCCCGGAGAGCCCAAATTTTTGGCGGCCTTGGAGACCTACCACATGATTCTCCCGCCGCCCGTGATAACATTCGAGGTCGTCGCCTTTTACCTGATTCTGCGCAAGTGCCACGCAACCAAGGTGATCGAGATGAAGTACGGGATTCGCGGCAAGAGCCACACATCGAGCAAGAACAGGGAGTTCTACATGATCAGCAGCGAGGACATCAACCAGATCAAGAAACCGGCGGAGTCGTGGAAGGACTACTGGAGGTCAGTGGAGTTCTGGCTGGCCTCTGAAGGGGCCAATCTTCCACCTGAAGTTCGGGCCTCACGCTTGATGCAGCAGCTGAAGGATAGGGCCGGGAAGATTGTGAACCACCTGAGCGTTGCCGAGGTCACCGGCCCTGACGGAGTGGAGGTGATCCGCCGGGAGATGGAGAAAAGTCCCATTATAAAGCTGCTGGAGCATAAGGAGGTGGACAAGAAGCGGCAAAAGTTCATGAGGTTGGGCCGCTACCCGAAGGAGTCCTTGGAGTCCTTCATCAACAGGGCGTCGATCTACAGACACCAGAACGATGCCTGCCAGAACTACCGCGTGGGCACGAAGTTCTACCTGGGCCACCTGATGGACGCGGCCCGTTTGACCCGCAAGGACGAGGCTTTAATCAAGACGGCCTCGGGAGGACTCCATGATGAAGGGCGAGTGATCAATGCGATGCTGGAGTTGTCGGAGCAGTTGGAGGGTCTTCCGGGCTATCCTATTGGCCGGGGAGAACCAGACCTTCCTGATGAAGACCGCTATTTGGTGCAGAAGGACAAGGACAGTGGAGAGAGGCACCATCGACGCGATGAACGAGGACGGCGACCCTTCCGGAACACAAGAGGTGGCCGTGGCCGGCGAGGACGATGGGTCGGCCGCATGAAGAAGCTAAAACAGGTCTTCCACGCCATCCTCGAGGACAATGAGGACCGAGCCGAACGACGAGGAGGACCTCGCCGAGTATGGATCCGCTATCGAAGCAAGCTAAAGGGTGTGCCATTGGAGTATGTGCGATTGGCTGCCTTGGAACAGGTGGAGTCATCAAAGGTGTGTCAGCAGGCTCTTCAAGAAGTGGAGAAGGAGCTGCAAGGTGGACGACCTAAGGTCGAAGAAATGGTGGAGCCGGAGGTCGCGAACCCTGACCCTCCGGTTCTGGAGTTTAGCGGAGACGAGGAAGACGAGTCAGCTCCGGTGGAATCTCCTCCGGCATCGAATTTGGATGACGTCCCGGCCCAGCTACATCGAGACCATCGTCCTTTTTTTTGGCTTCCCTAAGCTGGTCAACCTCCGCCGAAGAGGGTCCGCTTTGATGAGGCTAAAGAGCGGACCGAGGAGCACCTGCGGAAGATGACCCAGCAGACCGACGAGGCTCGACCTCGCACAGCAGCCGCTTCCTCAGCCAGCGCAAGGCCCGGACCCTATACGGTCCCTAAGAGTGCTCCGCCTCCGAAACCGGCCAGTCATCGAGGCCAAGGAATTCTGCATGCAAGTTCCAAGTGGGAACTCGGCCATGCGGTTGCAACGCCACATGCTCACTGAGGCGAGAGGAACGAAGTGGGAAGTGCCTGCCGCCGAAACAGGGCGGCTGACCGAGGAGATCGCTCAGGCCATGAACCAGTTGCAGGTCAGCCCTCCTCAGAAAGAAATGGAGCAGCCGGTCACCGGAAAGCCCCGCCTCGAGTACAAGTGGAACAAGCTTGAGCCGGCTTGGAAGGAAGCTTTCATTAAACCGCTGAAGGAGGCCATCGACGTTTACATACATCGACAACCAAGCCGTGGAACCGGTGCCTATGGGTCAGATGGTGCCTCCTGACAACATTCTTCCCTCGCGCTTTGTCCTGACGAACAAGAGCGAGGAGCAAGTTTTGGAGAAGGCTCGATTGAAAGCAAGATGGGTGCTAGAGGGGCACCTGGACAAGGAGGCAGGCAAGTACGCGACGGAGGCCCCGACTGCAAGTTTGGTAGCAAACAACATTGTATGCTTCATCAGCGCGCAATGTGGATGGCCTCTGAAATACGCAGATATATCGGCAGCCTTCCTTCAGGGAGAACATCTAAGTGATGGACGGATTGTCGACATCCGGATGCCCCGTAGCGACCCCGAGGACGTGGCCAAACGTCTGCTTAAACGTTTGGGAGGAAGAATGGCCGGAGGAATTCGTACGGCTGACCAAGGGCGGCTTCGGACTCTCGGATTCGCCGAGATTATGGTACCTCCGCCTAAGGCGGGGTCTCGTGGATGTCGGGCTGAAGGAACTCAAGTTGTCGCGTGGCACATTTGTTTTTCATCACCAAGGTGAGATGCGCGGCGTGGTGGCCGTGCATGTGGACGACTTCAGGATAAGTTTCGACCCTAAGTTCGATTACGTGTTGAACAAGTTGAGGGAGACCTTCTCGTTCGGCGACTGGAAGATGGCCCTGAACGAGACGGTGAAGTTTTGTGGCCGATGGGAGCGCCAATGCCCAAAGACCTTCCAGGTGACCGTGACGATGAACGGCTACGCCCACAAGCTGCTGGATCCTCCGCAGCGAGCTCAAGGAGATCGGCAGCCACTTACGGATGCTGAAAAGAAGTGGGTGGCCTCGGTTGGGGGCAAGGGCGGGCTGATTTGGCCTTCGGAATATCCAAAGGTGCAGCAGATGGCTGGAGCCCGGGACCCCGAGACGCTGAAGTCCTTGCTCCAGCTGGTGAAGAAAGCCCACGAGCCCTATCACTGCGTGTTCCAGGCCATCCCCGGCGGCTTCGACAAAATGATCTTCCTGGCGGTGAGTGACGCTTCACATGCCGCCATGCCGAAAGGGCGGTCCCAGGGAGGCATGATGATCATGAATGCCTCCGAAGACATCTTGGATGGAGATGCCCAGGTGAACTGTCTGTTGTACCACAGCGCAGTACTTAAGAGGGTGGTGTGCAGCAGCCTGGCGGCGGAGATCTCTCAGGCGGCCGAGGCCCTCGAGCAGTGCGACTGCGTGAGGGCCATGATGGCAGAGATCGTGGATGTGAAGTTCAAGTTGAACCAATGGCTATGGAGCGTGAGCCGGTGGCGAGAAATTCTAGTCTTAGACTCCAAGACTGGAAATGACGTCCTGAACAGTATTAGCCACGGGGAGGACAAGCGCTTGGCCATTGACATCGCTATCCTGAAAGAGTCGCTGTACGAACCGAACAGCAACCGTTGGGTACGTTGGGTACCGGGAATGACTGTGCCATCGGATGGTTTCACGAAGGAGTATGGGAACCCAATGAGAGATGCCGTGATGCAGGGCGGCCAGTGGAGCCTACGAGACTCCCCGGAAGCGCAAAAGCTTCGGGAAGAAGCAGGGCATCGTAAGAGGCAGTGCCGTGACCGGGTTCGCATACGCGAACAGGAGTTTGAAGCTGTTCGTCAGGCGGCGGATACAGCGGCTCCAAAGGGGGTTGGTGTGAAAGTTGACTTGTGAAGCAGCCGCTGTAACATGTTCCCGTCGCCCGACGGATGGCTCACAGTAGTGAATAGTGCGTGCGAAGAGAAAAGCCCGTCGTGGCTGCAGTGGAGTGTTTTACCGTTAGGGTTTTCTAGTTCTACCACACCTGTGGGCAGATGGATTCCAGGAGCTAAACCGGACCGCGGTGAGGAAGATCATCAAGAAGTTCGACAAGCGCTTTCATGTGACCGGGATAGAACAAGCAGCCATGTTTCTCGTTTTTCAGCTCCTAGCAGGTTCTTGCCTTGCTCCCCGCTTTCTTGACAGAATCATCCAAGGTCCGCTTTCACGAAGTCATCAGCATCCCAGATTCTCCGCCAAGCGGCCCAGGGAGATCGAGAGACATCCACACCGAATCTAAAAGCCATAGCTCTCACTTTCGCTTCCGACATGATAGCCGCAGTTAGAATAGAAGGTGGCATGCAAGCATTGCAGAGTGTGTCCCATCATCCGGGCCATGCTGCTCAGGAACCTCATGATAGATGCGAGTGCCATTAGCACTTGGCTGCTTGCTCCAGCTCTGCAGTGTCTGAGGCCCTTTGCTGCTATATAGAGTTGACTTTAAGACTTTAGGAGATTGTTCCATGCACTTTTCACGCGGCAACCCCTTGCAGCGCGGCATCCATCAGCAGTGCCTCTTCTGGGGTTCCGCATCTGCGAACAGGCTGATCAAGACCTGGTCGGGAGTCGCTGCCTCAGAAGACACAGCCCATGCTCCATCCTCGGCACTCCTGGCCGAGAGCTGCGACATGCTGCGACTCTGTACTCTGCGGGGCCAGGGCCCGCAGCCCGGCGACTTCGTGGAGCGCCCGCTTCGGCAATTCAGTTTCTGGGCAGAGGACTGCAACTGTAGAAGCATGTGGAAGCCTGGGCAGTCTCCCGTCGTTTTAGCTTGCAGGTTTGACTGTAGGCCAAAGAGACCTAGAATCACCCGGCACCGTTCGTAGCTTGTTTCGTAGTGTTCTAGAGATTGGGGGTGAGGGCGGGGCGGTGCTGAAGTTCCTGCTGCTTGCACCAGATGCAATATAGAGGCGAGTTGGGTAGTTCTCAGCTCCGCTTCGGCTTGTCTGTAGCTAGGAACCCATTTGCGCAACACAAGATAAAGCATGCCTCGTACGTTCCATAGCAGGGTGCAAGGTCTCGCTGCTGCGAGAGGCATGTACAGGCCCCCCAGCAAGCGTGTTTGATTAGGATGTGCCGGGGGCAGAGCTTCGGGTTCGGCTTCAAATACAGTTCCTGGGCTTCAGAGCATAGGTGCACCAGGGTTTTGCCTTGCTCAATGTCCTGGTGCACTGCTAAACACAACCAAGACAGTCGTTCATTGTTGTCCAGGGTTGTTTTGTATGCATCATGCAACAGCCTGTTCTTGAGGCACTGACAAAGCCCCAGTACGAGAAGCAACTGTTTTAACAGAGCAATTGCAAACGTGTGGGACAGTTTCCAAGATGAGAGCCGCAGCTGGGACCGAAAGCTGCTTGGGATAGATGACCCTTGCAAATCATTTCTTGCCCATCTCGTAGAAACCCTGGTTTCAGTAAGTGGCACTAGGCAGTACCACTTCGCAAGTAAACCACAGGATGTCTTTTTGAATGTCTTCTCGTTTCGGGACCGTGAAATCGCGGTTTGTGCAAACGGCAAACGCGCCTTGATTCGCCGCAGCCGGAGGAGCTTCGAGCCGGAGCTGCAATAGCGAGGCCGCTGCATTTATCTATTATCTGTTATCTGAGAGTTATCTGTTATCTATGATGTATTGTATGCTACAGTTACAGGTCATATTATGTACTGTATTTCATATTACATTCTTGCAGAAGGTGTCTAACGACGGACTGTGCGTCCGGTATTGCCACGGGGCTGCTCGGATTCCGATTTCTGACCAGCCTTCCTTGTCTTACCTTCGTCTTTGCAGCAACAGGTGCCAGATTGCCGGTGGACCCTGTGCGACTCCGACAGACCTGCGACTCCAGTTGATCTGTGGCCAGGAGTGATGAGCAGTAGGAAATGCTGTTCCTGCACAGGCAAACGACAATATCAGAGCATGCAGTTGCGATGTTTTTTCTTCTTCTCTAGTGGAGCTACCGTGCTGGAGAGGACCTGCAATGCCGGGTCAGGAGCCATGCTGACTGTTTTGTCGTGCTAAACGAGCCTAGGTTCATGCAGAAGATGTCGTGAGGCAGAGTATCGTTGCAGTGCTTTTGCAGTCTTTGCAACACATACGGCCTGGCTTCACATGTCGCGTTTGTGCTGTAGCGCAAAGTGCAAAGATGTGAGTTTCTCAGTTGCCGGACTTACCGTCGATCGCTGTTCGGCACATTCCGAGTGTGCTCGGTGCAGGAATACTTTTATTCATGTCTCGTCGAACAAGGGTGGCAGCCGTTTACGTTCGGATCCCAGCATTAGTTTGCGTCTGATCTGTTTCGCACAAAGCGAGCTTCAGGCTCTCACTCTCTTCCCTCTCGGCTGGCTCAGCGGGAAGAGGACCGGCTTGGACCCCGAATCAAGCATCTCTTTGCGCGACGACTCGTCAGGAGTTGAATGAAGCACTTCCCCTACCACCAGAACTGCCAGTCATCACGCTAGAGCATGCCATGTGCAGGGACCTTGGCCGTACAGAAGCGCAGCTGCATCGTCAATCTCCCCAAGTCAGAAGTGTCCTGAGCCGACTTTCATTGCAAGCACGTGCAAGCTCGAAGACAGGCGACAGATTCGAACTCCAGCCGATCCCGCGTCAGCTCCCAGTCGGGAGCCCTTTTTGGGGTATTGCATGCCTGTGTGACACCTACACTAGCAAAGTCGGTACTTTCGAGGCAACGTGCGCGCTTGACTACGAGGAGCAGGAGACGGAGGCTGGTCTTTCCATGGCCAGAAGCTTGTTGGAGCTTTCGAACGGACGCCGCTCAGCTCTTGTGCCCTGTCTCAGGCAGATGAAATCCAGCGGTGGGAGTATTCAACAGGCACATACTACCAGCACAACTTCTATCAAGGCCCGCCCACCAGGTTGGTTCAATGCTGCGGATTGCACAGTTTCGGACAACGGCTAAGTGTCGTTCAGAGCAATGTCGCGAAACCTAGCACTTGGGCAATTGACTGCATTGAATGGGCCACGAGTAACAACATGTAACAAAAGTAGTGCTGTTTCTCACTTCGTAGAACGGTTGAACAGGTGCCGATTTCGCAGTGGTGCCTGACTGCAAGGCGGGTTACTTTTCTTGCAGGGCGCAGGGCAGCCAGATATCTTAAGGCTTAGGGGTGCCCCGAGTGCCCTGCAGCTTTGGCAGACATTAGCGAGCGCGGAGTGCTGCGACTTTTCCAGGCAGCTGCGACGATACTCTCTTCGCCGTCGACGATGTCAGAGGTTCGTCTTTTTGCTGGCCTGGAGTCATGTTTTTTTTTTTTTGGGGGGGGAGGCATGGTCGTTTCCAGTTCAGTGTGGTTGCTCATAGATTCTACACGACGACACAGTCTACACGAACCTTGCATGTGGATGCTTAGAGCCAGGTCATGATTACGACGAAGGCTGGGCCACTGAAGTGTAGTGGAAGTCTGCGGCAGTCTGTGAATTCTGGAGACTTGACAGAAAAAAGCCTGCTGCGACAGAGCTGTGCGGCTGTGAGGACTCTTCGTCAACATTGGATCATAGCCCCAAGGGCAAAGGCCGGGTGGAAAGTTGACAAATAAGAGCTGGAAGCGCATCTCACTGCCAGTCTTCAGTTGCGAAGGTTCATTGCTAAGGTGGGAGCATGTCACCGTGACATTGCAGCGTTCAAGCTCGAGCTAAGATGGAACGATCAGCTCGTAATGCACCTGCTAGATGCAGCTCAGCCGAGCCACTGCTTCGGTTGTCCGTGCACCTGGGCCACACGCGACAAGGAGGCGCGGCAAGCAAGCCGGAAAGCAATGCCATTGGCCACGTTTCAAAGGTAAGAGCTACTCTGCTGGCGCCGCTTGGCATTTGGGCACGCAGAACGCAGCGGCGAACTTTAAGAAGGGCCTCGTCTAAGCACCCCGGATACCTCGGCTCGGAGCGACCGCGGCCGGTGCTCTGGAGCACCGCCCTTGAAGGAACCTGGAAGGAGGTGCTCGAAGCCTGCTCTCGGGCTCCTTCTGCATGCTTTGAGGCCGGCATTGCATTCCTTGGGATCGAACTGCTGAACCAGGCCGGTGGCCTTGCTGAGGCAACTGCGACCCTCTCCGGAAAGCTCGGAGTTCCTCTCATTGTGTGTCTGGTCGACGGGGTCATCGGGTGCAGCCGGGAGCCACGGCAGTTACGGCAGTCGTCTTGGTTCGGGCGGATCATGGCACACCTCAGACGGATCTGGGGAAGCGCCAGCCCCCCAAAGCCAATCGAACTGGAGAAGGGGAATGCCCTGTCACTGGCACTCTTCCAAGATTGCGGTGCCTTGCCAATGGTGATCGGTGCAGCAGACAAGGATCTCGGGTTCGAGGCCAGACTCTGAGGGAGGAGAAGGGGTTTCAGATGGTTTCGTCACTCTCATGATGGGGCCCGCCTTCTCCTCGCGTCAGGCTGGGGGCTGCCAGGAGCTGGGCGAAGTGACGGCAGCCGTAGTCCTGGCAGACAGTTTGGAGGCATCGGAAGCAGCTGCCAGCCGTGTCTCGACTTGTGTGCGAGCCTCTCTGCAAATGGTGCCTTGCATGCAGCTTCAGGTATTTGCTCCGTGTACCCGGACGCGACCACAGTCAGGAACTCGGAGTGCATGGCAGTGAGCCCTTGTCACTCTGCGGTTGCAAGGGGCACTTCATGAAGACCCCAAAAGCGAGCAGGTCGGTGCCATTGCAGCTCCTCTCAGTGAGTCACCATCACTTTGCGCTGCTGGCACCGAGCGTGGTTGGCCAGCCGGGCCTTGTGGCATCTCTCTTGCAGTAGACTGCCTTGCGTTGCCAGACATGTCCCGGACTCCATTTCTTGCTGTTGCCTCGTAGCAAATGTGTGTTGCTCTGTGACAGCGTCACAGGCTCGGTCAAGCTCTGGGGCTCCGGGGCGCTAGCACTTCTTTTGCGTGGCCCTCGCCTACAGGCACATGGTCACTGCCAGTACATTGGTCTCAAAACTCCGAGACGTACCACTCCTGTGAACCCGACAGGCAGTTTGTTGCAACGGTATGCGTAGCTTGGGCCCGTGGCTTGACATTTCTCGACAACGGACGGAGAATGTGATCGAGATCTGGCTCAGTTGGCCCTGTCATGGTTTCATGGTGGCTTGTCATGGTTTTGACAGTGGTTCTATTTTGTCTCAGGAGCGGTTGGATGGTGTGCCGGCTTGGGCCAAGCTGCGAGAGGCGGATCACAGTGAGACTCGTAGCATGCAAGTGTCGTCCCTCGCTGAGCAACCCGAGCTCAGTGGCGAAGCGCTCCACTTCGATCCTGACTTCAGATCAAAGTGGAGCTGATGCGGTGTGCCGTGAGCAGGTGGTTCGCGAGTGCACTCTGGAGGAGCAGCTTCTCTCTCGAAGTCATGTTCTGACAGCCTGACCCTTGAGCAGCAACGTCCCCTGGAAGTTAATCGCATGGGTGAATGGCCAAGGTCAGCATCCGAAATCCAGGATGCGTCTGCCAGATTCGTCCCGCCCGTCGTGTGGAGGCCTCCCAGGCGGTAGAAGTTGTGGGCACTACGATCCGAGCGGGTGCCAAGATGCAGATGATGGTGAGATGCTCGGCCGTAGAGACATCATACTTCGTGCAGACAGAGTTCTCGATTCTTGTTTTCTGAAAAAACAGCAGCCACTGAAGAGTTCACTCAGAGAGAGCTGAAGCAAGAGACACAGACAAGGACATCGTGATGCAGCTGAGAAGGAGTTGCACCTTGACTTCAAGGAACCCCGAGTTGAGAGACGATTCTCTCCCAGGTTTTGATCATCACTGGGTTTCTGCACGAAGTTCCCGGGGAGAGATGTCCTGCCTGGCAACTCGCAGCAAAAGGCGCCTCCTCCCGCAGCATCTTGCGCTGGAGTCCGCCTTCTGCTCCTCTCCAGGGTCTGGGAGCGGGGTCTCCTCGGGTCGCCCGGCCTTGCTGTGATCTGTCTGTGCACCGAGCGAAGAACTTCGAGACACTGCGCGAGCCGCGAACTCCGCAAGGTTGCCTGCTCTTCTCCGACCGGGCCCGTGGCAGCTTGGCTGAAGCGGCTTCAGCCCTCTCGGCCCTCTCGCGAAATGACCGCAGGTCAGGCTCTCTTCGGCGAGAAGGGAGGGGATGCAGCAGCAGCCCAGCGTCTGGGCGTGGAGGCAGGGGCTCTGGAGTTTTGTCCTGGAGCTCTCTGCAAGAGTCTCGCTGGGCTCAGGTGGCCGGCTGCTTGGGCCGCGGCCAGGTCCTGGCCACCGGCGCCGGAGTGGCAGCGCAGCGGCTCAGTGCCGTCTACGCCTTTCTCACCCCCGGATAGCGAACTGGGCAACTCCGGGCATGCACCCCTGAAGCCATCGGCCATTGCATCTTTGGGTGCAGCGCCTGCCGGTGAAATCTTGGTGGCCAACTTGTCCTCGACTAGATCTGCCGACCTTCTTGCTCCCTGCCGCAGAGGTGGTGATTTCTGCTGATTATCCGAGAGTGCAAGGCCTTTCCGGACAATGCTCGGGCGCCCTTCAGCTGGCCAATTCACACTTTGGTCCAAGGTGCTCTGCGGAATTCTGTAACTGACAACAAGAGTGCTGACGAACGGCAGTGCTGCAGTAGTACTGCCGACTGTCCGAAGGTGAAGTCACCTGAGAAAGCGTCAGGGCTGAAAAACAGCGTTTCAGCAACGTCGAGGTCATTGAAGTCCCCAGCTCTAAGTAACCGTAGCCGGAACCATTCGGTGGCTGCGAGCCCCCTCTACCAAAAGCTCAGAACTTGTGGCACACGAAGAGATAACTTGTCGCTGGGAGGACGTGGCAAGTCCTTGCAGAGCACCGCTTCGGGCTCCAGGTGGTGGATGGAGTCTCCAGAGGTTGGAGACGTTGGCACGCTTCAGTGCCCCTCACGACTCGGCGACTGTTGCAGGTCTGTCCAATTTGCCACTTCCCGATTCGACTTCTGCCGTACCCTCCTTTCAAGCTGCAGGCACTGGAATCCCCGTGGCAGGGAGGGTCTGTGCTAGGAAGGTGCACTTAGCTAGCGCGAGTTTCTGGCATCCTGTGTCACACGTGCATTGCCCAGCGAGGTGTGCTGATTGGTTCAAGGGTCCATGTCACTGGCACAGCCGGACAAAGCTAGTTGCCCAACAACTCATGAACGGAAGCTGGAGCACCCCCTCCAAGACTTTGGACATGCTCCGAGATCAAAAGGCATGGGCCACGGCAACCCAGATGGTACTTCGGCCAATGCCTGCAGCACATTCTTGTAGACGCCAGATCCCAAGCCCATGACATCGCATGACGCGGGGCGACTGGCTGTTCCTGGGTTTGGCGGCTGCGGCGGCCATCCTGGTGCGCTCAAGGGGGGCGGAGTCGTCGTTTTGAGTAGATGCCTGCGTCTCTTGGGCCCCTGGTGTTGTGATTGGATCCCCTTTCGCAGGGCGCCCACCTCCGTGGCCGTGCAGCTCGGCAGAGGCTCAAGGAGCTGCTCGAGGAGTTTGCTGGCCGCGAGGCCTGAAACATGAGTCAAGAAAATGATTGACAAGACCGGTGCTCCACTGCGGTGCGCAGTGACGGCTGCATGGTGTCAGGGGCGGGTGGTCATCACAGGAGCTGGCACCGGCATCGGCAAGGACAGAAGGGTTCGCGACGGTGATCTCTTGGCCAATGTAGGTGGTCTCTGTGTGAAGGAGCTGGCACGCCTGCTTCGCCAGCATCGATCCATTTCCGTGCTCCTGGGTTGCCAGCATGAGATCGAGCGCGAGGAAGGTCGCATGAGAGCCTTGGATGAAGCCCACGCAGGAAAGGGCAGAAGTGTGCCAGTGTCTCATCCTGTGTTCACTTCAAGATACTCCAAGCCTCGAAGATTCGAGGAGTGCTGCCTTTGGAGTTGCTAGATTTGGACTCCGTGCAACGATTTGCTGCACCTCGGATGTCGGAAGCAAGAGAGGATTGAGAGCAAAGGGAGACTACGAGAGCTCTGCTACGCACTCAGGTTGAAGCGCACGGTTTCCTCAAGGGTGGACAGGAAGGTTTGCGCATGTTGGTAAACAACGCCGGCTTCAAGGACGGCCTTAAAGCCTGCGCACGGTTGGCACCTGTCACAGACCAGTCGGCGTTTGATCTGCTGAAGATTTCAGGAGAAGGAAAGGTCACCACACACAAAGTATGGCCCGCAGCTCGGGTCACGTGAACCCACATGCAAAGATGCTGTGCTAGAATCGGGATGCCCCAAAGCTGTGTCCAAGGTGTCAGCCGAACTTGGCAGGTGAACTTCTTGGGCCCTTTCCTTCTGACGGAAATGCTCTGCAGACTCCGAGAAACGGCCCCTCGTCGCTCAAAGCCGACTTCGACTTCCCCTAAAGCCTAAACCCTAAACTCAGCCTGATAGGCATTCTAATAGCAAGCACAGTTGCTAGAGGAAAAGGGGCGACAAAAAAACACCTAAACTCCTAAGCCTTCCCGATCCGGGTCTCTTTTGGGACAGGACGGGCCCTCGTTCCCGGCCAGTGTCATCAACGTGGCAAGCGGCCACGAGTCGGAGTCCAACTTGGACGAAGCCCTGTTGGAGGCTCTGGCAGGCTTGGGCTTAAAGTTAGGGTTTAGGGCCGTTTAGGGTTTCGGGGTTAGGGTCCCAGTTCCATCTGACAAAGCCCGAGTCCGGTCCCAGGGTCTTGCCTGGGTATCTGCGGCTCGAGTAGTGCAGCAGAGAGGCTATGTTGAATCGAGGACGGGTGGCTCCTCTCGGTGAGACAGGAGCTTAGGCTTAGGCTGGGACTAGGCTAACTAAGTAAGAAAGGAAGGAATGAAGGAAGGAAGCAGGGGCTGCTGCATCAGACTCTGGCTGGAGTGCTGCTTGCCAGAAGGTGGGCGAGAAACCACGAGTCACGAGTATGCAGACTCGAAGACGCTCGTCTTCTCGAATCTTCTGTGAATGTCGACTCTTCGTGGAGCGTTGCAGGAGACAAGCGCGTGAACCCAGCTAAGGCGTGCTTTGCTGCTGTGGACCTCCGTCCGCTCTCAAAGCCTAGCGTTGAAGGGTGCCTTGATGTGGACACCGGTGTCGCAGTTGGTCACTGCCAGAGGGCTGAACAGTGTCATCCTGTTCTGCCCCGTGTAACCCTGAGGTAACCTCTTCGCACATGCAGTCTCACCGGGAAAAGTGGACACCAGGCGGACACCAGTCTTCAGGTCAATGGTATAGTGCTCATCACTGCTGACAGGTTCGGCTGCGAGGAAATCCCTTGGTGGCGCCTCGCTCTTTCAAGTTATCATGGTGTGAGAGCTAGCTCGGGGCCTTACAGTCTCCAGATAGTCACTCTTGACGAGGCTTTGGATTTGGTCCGCCCCGGCGAGGATCTTGATGTTTCGGACGGTGTCTGAGGCGACCGAAACCCGTTTCAAGGCCGTGAAACCATGAAGCTCGAAAGCTAAGTCGAACACAGGGGGCATTGTCCATCGCCGCGGCTGGCTTACGGAAGCAGGCCACCAGCCTCTTGGCGCTCTGTATCGAGGTTCTGGCTTCAGCAGATGAAAAGCAAGAGCTGTTCAAGGGTCTCTTCGTGGAAATTGGAAACTTTGGATATCTTTGGATGGGCTCACTGGCACCTGTAAATTTAGGGCCATGGGCAAGCAGCCGCTTGCACAATCTTTTGCGAACATCACTTCCCCTGCGCTGTCATCTTACAACGCGGCGGCCGTTGGAAGTGGGGTGCAATCCAAGGCAAGTTCGGACAATATTTCAGAGAGGAGGAGTTGCGCCTTGGTCGAGATCGGCTTGCGAGATGTCGGGTCTAGGGACACTGATCCCAAATGCGCCGAGGGCAGAGGATTTGGTCATATGGAGGATGCAGCTTGGATGCCTCCACCAAAGTCTTGAGAGCCACAGACCAGTCCACAGGAAAGATGCTTCTTCGATGCTTCCATTGCCATATGCGTCATATGCATCTTCAGGCCTGAAAAGCGTGTCTCTGTGCAGCTGGTGCGCTGGGCATCCCAGGTGCATGTCCTTACAGAGCGGAAGTGTGAAAGAATGCAAAATCAACGCAGAGGCTGTTGCAATTCTGACAGGTCACTTCCTTGAACCCACGCATGGGTGGCCGACCGTTGCCGCGCTCTCCAGCCTTGCAGGGCCAGGGTTTAGGGATTTTCTGCTGACAGGTTTTTCTGTTAGCATACAGGGACAGCCGAGACATGCTACTCCAAAGCCCAGGGACATTGGCGGACGTTCGCTCAGCATCACGGACCTCGTGAACAAAGCCGAGGACTGTCTCGCTACTTTCAAGCGAAGACTCGAAATCGGATGTTTCAAGGTGCAGGCATCAAGGTTGCAGGCCTGGCTTTCCGTTTATCGTGAAGGGTCAGCCGCTTGCTCGAGTGTTGGGGTTGAGCTGAGCCAAACCCAAGTGAAGGAAGATGTTTGGTCATCGGCAGAGCGACGCTGGCGCTTTCAGGAGCGGCAGGCCAGCACGGCGCACAGCTCCACGAAGCTGGTAGGAGCTACGCAAAGCCACCAGTTGCGCCCTGAAATGCGCAGGTCAGCCCTCCAAACGCAGGCTGCTGCGACGGCAAGTTCACACCATTTCCTTTAAATCTTCCTTTGCGGCTGCTGAGCCGTCTTCATGCCATGCTCTCGTAAAGTAACATGGTCAGGCTATGAGGAGCCTGTTCTTCCCATCTGATTCGTGGCCGCCTATCTGCAAGTTCTGTGCCAAAGCGCACGTCGCCGACGACCGTCGCCTTTGCGGAAAATCTACTTCTTCGAGCACATGTTTAGCATCAAGCTTGATGCCTTTGATATCCTTTGATGACTCCTGTCTCAAAGAGTCCCAGCGACAGAGCCTTCCGCGCCAGGTGGCTGGGTGTGATGCGCGTGAGCCAGCTAAGCTTGTTGATGGTCCCTTCATGGTGTTACAGGCCTCTTGCACAGAGCAGTCTGGGACGGGCTGCTTCTTTTGAGCATAGTACAGAACATCTTGGCTTACATCAAAGTCATCGGTCGAGTCCGTGCAAACAGTAAGTCCCGCCGGCAAGACCATGGTTTCTGAGCGGCTTGCGCAGGTGCTGAGCACTTGGAACTTTGATGTTCTGGGCCATGAGTTGACGGTTTCAGATATCAAGGCGCTGGACTCGTGCGCCGAGAGTTTGACTCCTATGATGTGGCAGCCCATGTCTGTTGCATTGTACCGCACAAAAGATGGGTGCTCAGCTGCTGTCCAGCGTGCAGCGTGGGATGAGATTCACGGTATTTCCGTTATTCCAGGTACATGAAGTGTCTTGGCCGCAAGGGTGGCGGAAGATGGAAGCAACATGACTCGGCACATGCAAGAATCGGAGAGAGAGAGAGAGAGAGAGAGAGAGAAAAGGAGAGAGAGAGAGAGAGAGAGCAAGCCAACCGACCCCTATGCCCTGCAGAAAGAAAGAAAGAGAGAGCAGGAAAGAAAGAAGAGAGAGAGAGAGAGAGACAGAGAACAGAGCTGAGACAGAGCAGCTAGGAGAACTGAACAGAACGGAGAGCTGAGGCGCTGCAAGCTGGGCCCCTTCCGGCTGGGCCGGGCACTAGAGCTGCTCAGCGACCCGAGCCATGAGGCCGCGGAGAAGACCTTTTTTCTGGCTGGAGCCTCGTGAGTTCTTGTCGCAAAGGCAAGGGAAGAGCTGGAATCCCTTCGCAGTAAAGCGCGAAGGCGCCTGGAGGCAGGGCGTCCGCTATTGGAGATGCCGGCTTGAACGGACCTGGCTCTGGCTGCAGGGACTGAAGCACATCCAGCGAGTCCGGATGAATCGAATGGACATGAACCCAGATGATGAAGGCCGGATCTTGGCAGAAAGTAGAGTGATTGACGCAGCTGATATAAGAGTAGCCTCTGATGTCTTCTGGCTGTCGGCAGCTTTTGGCTTTGACCGTCTGGCGAGGTGAGGAAACCATTGCAAGCCCACCTGCTGCCGCGAACTTGGGATGAGCTTTACTTGTTGGTGTCTGTGTTATCTGCTCGAAGATGAGGTGACTGCTGAGACAAGCAAGGACCTTAGTGAACCTCGGGCATGGCTTCGAGCTGTCGTACTGGGACCTGGGAGGGGAATTGATTTGAATCAGTTGCTGTCTTTCGATCAAGCTGTCATTTTCGATCCTTCGCTTCGTTTGACTTCAAAACCCTCCAAGACTTCAAGAAGCAGCTTGACACCTGATCAACTGCCGTTCGATCGTGAGGTGTTCGGAAAAGTCGGGCCCCCCGGGGTCAGGCGTGGAGGCTCGAGAGAAGGCTGAAAAGCGAGACAGCGAGACTCCTCTCCCTGCGCCAGGCATGGAGGATCGGCCTGGCCCTTGTGCAGCCGAGGTGTCTCTGTCGGCCTGTCTTGCCGCCCGAGTCCACCGGGCTGCCCCGGCAGTCCTTGCTGAGGCCTATCCTCAAGCGAAGAATGCTGCACGATCATTTGCAGATCCGGCTGGTTTCGGAGGGTCGGGTAGTGCGGGTAGGGACTTCGAGCGGATCCAAAACTGCCGTGAACCTCAAAAGTGCCAGCCTTTCGAGAGACTCCAACACAATGACGGACGCAGTATGACGCAGTGCTCTTCTGAACGTCGTACCGAGCATGTCGGGAACTCCTGCAAGAAACAGAAGCTCTCGGGAATGTGCTTTTGGCGGCGCAGGGAGTCGCCAGAAATGAAGCACCAGAAATCCCCCAGCAGAACCACAGAGCCTTGTCCACGGCAGGGTCGTCGATGAACCAAGGGACACACGCAATGCCGGCCCGGGGCCTGGGTTCTTCTGTGAAAGGTGCATTCCCTGTGAAATGTTCTGGGCCCTATAGGCCCTAGGCCTTATGCCCAAAGTTGTGCTTGAATCTGAGGCAGTGTGCTGAAGTGGGTCGGCCGAAAAGTGCCCAGACCTCGGGGCGTGCCGCCTATTTCTTCCTGTTGCAGCCGCAGCCCCCTTGTTCGCCAAGGTCGTGCGACCCGACATTTCTTGACTAGCACCCTCCCGTGAGAAAGCTCTAACTTCGCTCCTGACCTGCCGCTAGGCTAATGGCCGTAAGAGCTAGTTATTCCGCAATGTAGCTGCTGTTTTATGCGGGTTCTGAGCTGCTGCAGTGGTACTTGGGCAAAGCCCAAAATTCCTTCGGAGCCGCTGCTGCAGCACGTGCTTCTGGCTGCTTCGAATCATGTGGCAGAAAATATCTGAAGAGCAGAAGAGGAGCCTTGATAGGGCCGCGGTCCCCGCCGTTTTACTCGCAAGGAGGTGTGCTAATGTTCGCACTCGGCTGATGAGCAGATCTTGCGTGCCAAAGCCTCTCCCGAATTTATTCTAGCCGCAAGTTGCGAAGCTTCGTTGGATATTGCTCGGGGTGGGCTTGACGCAGTTTCGCACATTCGGCCAACAGTTTTTCGTATCTTGCATGTATCCCTTCCACCGCGATGTCAGGACGGTGGCTGGAGAGATCTTCTCGATCGGAGTTTTGCAAATGTTAAATCACTCGACGTGCTCGGGTAGTGCTCGCAGGATTTTCAGCGAGCGGAGGCGGCATGGTTGGAGCGTTGAAAATCAATTGAGGTCAACTGTGAAGCAAGCTAGCTTGCGCCAGAACCATCTAAATCTGTGTGTCGGTTGCTTGGTAATGACACGCCACAGTCACAAGATTTCACTGCATACTTTGGGTGCCATCCAAGTATCTGCCAAACGTGTTCACACGTTTTCGGGCACCCCCGAGCGCCAGACTGCTGCAACTGGCAGCTTATGCACAACAAGGTGGCTCAAGGTGGCCGTTGAACCATTGCAGGACGTTGTCTTGCATTGGAACTCGATGTCGCCGTGCCACTCCTGCTGCAGTCACTTGATCACGGAGACCGCAGACCCTTTCACTGCCCGTGTGCTTTCGAAGCACTCCGTATTCACGGACACCCTAGCTGCAGTAAGCTTCACTCCGGGCAGTCACAAAGTTAGGGACTGTGGATGCCTTCCACCAGGCAGGAGCTATTTAGCACCTGGCCGAGAGAGGCCAGTGACTTTTTCGAGTTCTGCAACTCAGCGAGTTGCACTGTCTCCTGCCAGCTGCCGTTTAGCAGATGCAGCTCGGCTTCGCAACATCTAACATACCTGGGTCGGTCATGCTCGGCCACCCGGGTTTTTAATTGCAGGCGTGGAATGTCCAGGCATCGAATTAGCTAGGGTCGCCTCGCCAAGCAAGACTTGATGCCTCAGCCCTGCGGCCCGGATGCTCCTCGTATCGAGTCACAATGCTTGAGCTTAGCTGAGGGTCGCAGAGCTCGGGGTCGTGCGGAGTGCGAAGTTCCATTTTCACATCCATTTTCTGGAGCCGGCGTTGGCATCTGCGCTACAACAAACCACCCAAGATCACCCAAGCATCCTTTCCTCGTGCAATTTCGGCCAAGCCGGTCGACCAAGTTCTCATTCTGACATGCATTGATGTTTAGTGCCACTCGATCCCATTCGATACCGCCGATGATCGTGAGTGAGTGTGTTTGTTTTTTACTTGGCGGTTTGGGCTCGGTTGCCTTGCACAGCCTGACACAGAGAATTCAAAGACCCCACCTCACCGATTAGTGGTGCACAGAAGCCAGCTTGGAAGCAATCGTAGCCATGGCTTCATTGTCCTTGGTTATCTTGCTGTCGGTGGAGCTTCTCTGTGTCCTTTCTCCAGCACGGAGCGCGCAAACCGCGCGTAGGAGCCAGGATGCGAGATTGCAGCGAAGGCTGCGACTGTTCCGAATCTCAGTTGCTGACAGCTTGAAGGTTCTGTCTTGTTCCTACGCCCCTGCCTGAGCGCACGAGGCCTGCACAAAAATGTCAGCAACTGCTGCTGCAAATCGGTAGGCAAGTCCATGACGTGGCCTATTGCGCATCCCTTCCAGCAAAGCCGGCTTTCAGCATGTTGCTCCAGATGCTTTGAAGCTGAGAGGCAGTTTCGGCACATGTAGTGTAGCCCTGTCATTATGAAGGACTGTAGCCGAAAGCTGAAGCTTGGCTCCGATAGTCGTCCTAGGGGTGTGTGCTGATACCACGGGAGACCTGATAGCTTTGCCATAAGATGCAGCTTCTGGTCGGGATGGGCATGGAAGCACTGGTGTCCGTGGAAAATCGGGCCAGTGCGGCCCCCCCTCCAATCGCAGAAGTGCCGTGACCTGGTGGCCATGCCTTAGAGAGCGAGCCTGACCTGGCTTTGCATCAGCCACTCAGTTGTCGGACGGATGTCATAGCCATTAGCAGGAGATACTGGGAGTATGGTTCTCAGCCATCAGTGTGGTGATAGTCGATAGAATCAGGTTGTACAATGCCCGTCTCACAACGCTTTCATGCGTGCCCAGCGACTTAGCTGTCCAAAAAGATCACTGGCTCGGAGCCAGAGATCCCTTCCCGGCTTTCGGATGTGTGCAGGCATAGAGCTGATTGTGCCTTCGGAGGATGTAGGCGTAGAGCTGTGGAGAGGTGGAGGCCCAGCTCGCTTCCTGGCGGTGGCCAGGAGGTCGCAGGCACACAGCTTTTGCTCATGTCACTCTCGCATGCATGCACTTGTCAGATTTTGTCAGCTTGGTCCCGAAACAGGTCCTGTATGCCGCTACTGACTCCGACCGCCTCGTGGTACGCCGTTTGAGCGCACATGCAAGGGAGTGCTCTGTGGGTGCTCTACACGCCAGGCCTTCGATCACTCGCAGCTTCCGATGCGCTGCATTGCGGAAGGCACCCCTTCCTCTCTCAGCCTTTAGGTCCCCGTCGGCCTTTCTTAGCTCTGGCTGCTTTGGCTCTTTGGCGAGGCCCAGGGGGTGGCCCGCTCGCCAGCTTGCCGGAATACCTCGCCATCTTGGCCCCAGGTGGCGCTTCTGGAAGCAAAATAGACCTTGAAGCTCACTCTCTAAGACGTTATAGAGCCTCCAGTGCTTCTTGTCCTCGCCATGATTAGCATGAGGTTCCTGAGGGCTTGTCATGCCATGCATGTCTCGGGAATGTTGTGAGCTGCAGGTGGACTTCAGCTGCGGCGTCACATGTGACCCACGCTCGAGAAGTAGCTACTCAGTGGTCAGTAGCAGGGCACGTGTTAGCCGAAAAGCGGCTCGTTGCGAGGCAACAATATTCTGGCGAGCTGTGCACCCTAACTATGGCCCCCCATTTGAGATGCATTGGCCACATATCGTTAGGATCAATCGTGGAGCAGTGCCGTTGTGACAGCCGTGCTGGCCAGACAACGCATGTCCGGGGTTGGAGACAAATGATGTGCTGGACTTCTCTGGTTGACTGCCGTAGACACAGTTGCTGAGCTGTGGGTGGTTTCTTGTGCAGAAGGCATGCTAGCGGATTCTTGTGCTCGGCCTGGACTAAATGTTGCTGCAAACAGACGACAACCCGTCTGTTTTCTCAATACTTGTGGAGTCATACTCGTACACGGGCCTCTGTTGATGTTGTCTGTAGCACCCGCAGCTGTTTGAAGGTCCTACATGTAGCTCACATCTCATGCATGCCGCCCTGAGATCCTTTCATTCAACTGATCGTTTCTGACGTCTAAGGTATCCTGGATCGAACAAAAGCTAGAGATAAGCTGAACACAGTCCTGCGGCAAGCCTTGTGCCCCCCAATCACAACATCTATGGAGGGCTTGTCGCGCCTGGACGAGCTTTGCCAGGAGGCCACGTTTCCAAAGTCGAAGCTAAAGATGCTCGAATTGTGCAGCCTTGGCCTTCGGAAAGGCAGGACGACAGGCTCCCGGAAAGACGAAGGACAAGGCGGGATCCAGGGACTTAGCTGCCGAGGGTGCCTCCCCTTCTCCGCAGGTACCAGCCAAAGAGAGAGGCGCCAATGGCGGCGCGCCAGACTGGCACGTCAAACGACTCGTCGCACAACCACTGTGTGTTGCAGTGTGCTGACTTGTCACTGGCATGACAGGCCATCGCTGGACGATTTCTTAAAAATGTTTGAAGAAGAGGAGCTGGCAAGGGGGCATGTTGACTTAGAGTTGAATGGGTCGGCAAGACGCTCCAGCCTCTAAAACCCTCTGGATTTTCCAGCTCTTGTTTCATCTCCCTGGCCCATGGCTGTCAGCACCGCGAGGACTCGAAGTGCAGGCTGGGCGGTTGGGCTTGGACAGACTGCTTCGCACTGCTTCGCGCGCACTCTCCCGCGATGGGTCAGGGCTCCACGGTTCTGAAGTCTTCTCGGATGTGATTCACGACTCCCCCTGGCTTCGGTGTAGGTTGCCGCGCGCGGCTGACTTGATCGTGGCGCGGAGTGATGAAGAGGCGGAAATCAAGCACAGCATCGGTAGTGGTATGTCTGTGGATTGCGGATCTCGGTGTGTACGAGGAGCAGAAGCTACGTCGCGTTTGTGATGTTATGATCTGACTTCGACAGCGAAACTGACGTAGCTTGCAGAGTTCATGATGTCTGACCAGAATTCGGGTAAAGCAGTAGATCCGAGCTCACGGATCACACAGAGCACTTTCTTCAAGGCAAAAGTTGCAGCCGATGCAACGGCGCCTGCTGCACTCTTGGAGGTTTCCAAAAGACTGCATTGAAGTTGGCGTGCGTGAGTCAGCAGTGAGCATGATGCAAACCTAACGCATGACTGGTGTGTGTGTGTGTGCGTGTTTTAAATGGCGGGCCATGTAGGACGAAGATGGTGACGTGGCGCATGTGTTTCTGGAGGTTGGGCGAAGTGTTGAGCTGCTGCCAGACCGGCAGGGTTGTCCTTGGATGTTTTGCCGAACTGAATGTCACAGGAACCGGTCAAAGCCAAGGACGAGGACAGCGTTGATTGCGGTGCAACTGCATGCGCCGAGTAATTGTCACGAGCACAATATCTTGAGACAGACGCACTAAGTAATGACACTTGTAACATGCTGTACTGTTTGTAGTGAAACATGCGTCGAGAAAGTAGCATTAGCAAAAGTAATCCAGCAAGAGCAGACTACTTTTTCAGATAATCGCAACGGCAACAGTATAGCAACAGGGGCAGTAGCATGGGCCATAACACCGGATAGCGTTCTCAGCGTCAGTAATCTGAACAGCAACGATGGATGGGGCATCAACAGCACTACCGGCAAACACAGACATGAGAGGACAAAGCAAAGTAGCGTTCCTGATACAAGTAAGACATGTAAAGAAGAAGTGGAAGTTACTTGAATGGGCCCTCTTCCGTCTGCTGCTGTTGCTCCCACTACTACTACGACGACGACTGCGACGGCGACGACGACTACTACTACACCCACTACCACTACCACTACCGCCACCGCCACCTCCACCGCCACCGCCACCTCCACCGCCACCGCC